TTCCTTGGTTGTGTTTTGGGGGGTGCCTCGCACCCCCAGAGATCCAGCTTCGTGGCTGACAGGTGACCACACAGGGGCTTCACCGATACCCTTGGTAACCGTAGTAGTTCCTGTAGTACCGGTCTCTGTCCTGTGGGTGGTGGTAGTAGTAATTCTGCCACTGGAAGAGAAGGGACCCATTAGGGCAGCAGGATGGCACCACAGGGCCCCACCTGCGCCCACTGCCCTCACCCTCTGCCCATAGCACTCACGTCCCGATTGTACTGTCTGTAATAGTCTCTATATCTGTTGTACTCGTAGTCTCGCCCATAGAACCGGTCGTAGTCTCCTCGGTAGCGGTCGTAGAAGTTACGGTAACCCTGGGAAAGAAGAATGGTTACGGGCTTTTGGCAGCATGACCCACTGTGTCCCCTTGAACAAGACAACTCTTGGTTTGACAGTGTAGACAGGATGAATTTTGTCAGATCAACACAATGGACGGGCAAAGCCCTAAGCCCTGAAAGACAGCCCAAACCCCTCTGCTCCCCATGCTGCAGCAATGGTGGCCACAGGCAGAGGGAGGGGCAGGGGGGCTGCACTCACCCCTCTGTTTCCAGACTGCCCCCAGTACTGCTGCCCGTAGGCCCGGTTGTCGTAGCCTCGGCGCTGCCCGCCCACTGGAAGAGAAATGGAGAGAGCTCAGATAGCTGCCACAGGGTCCTGGCTCCACACGGAGTAGAAATGGAAAAGCTGGAGCCGCAGGCAGTTCTGGGGAACAGGAGCCTGCCCGGCTAGGACATACCATACTAATTAGAGCCCAGCGCCAGGGTCTCTGAAAAGTTGGGGGGGTGAGGCAGAGTGAGAGACATGAGAAAACAAGTCACCCAGCTTTGGATGCCCCTAGTTCCTACAAGACATTTACTGATGGCAAAATAAGAAACACAAGTAACTACCATTCAGAGTGTCACAGACTGTCAGACCTGGGAGAGATCAAATGCCACGATGCCACCCCCACCATTTTCTACGAGAAAAACCATCTGCACTGTGTGTTCTTGGAGGAGGGGAACTGTCAGCATCCCCAGCACCCAGCATGCCTCAGGCCCTCAGCACACTTGCATGTACACCGTATGCACAAGCACAACTCATCCTGGATTAGCTGACAGAACAGACCTGCAGGGGAGAACAATTCTACTAACAGGCTAGAGCTTGCTATTAATTCAGCCCCCAAATTAATTTACTGAATAATGTTTTCACTTTCTGGACTAAACAGCCAGGTTGATCCAAGAGGCAAAGCAGCAAGAAAACATAAGATGAGAACAGGATGTTGCCGCACAAGCCATTGCACTACACTAGCAGTGATGTGTGGGACACCCATGTGTTAGCATGACAGCTAGACCCATAAGAAGGCACAGCACGCTTTTCAAGAAACAAGTATTTTGTGCGATAGGAATTACCCTTTTTATGGAAGAATTATAGGAAAGCCAAGAGATGGTGAGGAAAGGACACAGGAGGAAATCTGCTCCATTAAGGCACTTCCTTATAGCAAGTCACTTGGCTTCCTGGGCCTTCTCAGGGGGGCTCCCAAAACTGGCCCAAAATGCTGACTTTGGCTGGGACTGCTTGCTCTCTGAACTCACCGTAGCCTTGGCCCCGGCTTCGGTTCTGCCGGTTGCGCTTGTTCCGGTTGTTCCGGCGGTTTGTGCGCTTCTCAGACGGGGGCAGCAACTTCCTGGCCTCCTCCTTGTACTTGGTAACAATGGGCTGAGCTTCCTCCTTCTCCAGCTCCCCGTATGTCACCTCATCCATATAGTCGCACTTTTCGGGCAGAGAGAAATTGGCTATAAGAGTAAGAGAGAAGGCTTGTGGGCCTGAAAAGTGCATAGATCGGTAAGAACTCATTATGCAAATTCTATTACAGAAAAGATAAGAATTTCTAAGCTTCATCTATTAAGACACAAAAATGTGGTGGTTCACACCCACTCACATCTAATTATCAAAACTTATCTGCTCTACCCTAAATTTCTCCTAAATTTTAACTCCCCACAGGCAAAGCACTATCTGTCAACTGTTAATTCACAAGGTCTCAAGTGATCCATAATAAATTAGCAGCAAACAGGGCTAAGGTTTCTTATCAGGACAGAAGCAGGTAACAGAGGCCAAAAGCAACCACATGTTTTGGTGTGAGATAAGGTGCTAAGAAGTGACATTTTATTTTATTTTATTTTATTTATTTTATTTATTTGTTTGTTGGTTGGTTGGTTGGTACCAGGGATCGAACTCAGGTCCTTGCACTTGTGAGACAGGCAGCAGAACCACTAAGCTAAATCCCCAGCAAGAAGTGACATTTTAGAAAGAGGCTGGCCTTACAGTATCTGCTGCCTGTGAACTTGGGGAACAGAGTGTGCTTGCCCAGCAAATCTCACTACAATGGGGTTCCCATGATTCTTCAATGAATCCAGTTAGTCTTGTTTTGTATAAAACTGATATTAATTCCTCTGAGCACCTGAGTATCAGTCATAGAACTGTATAGCTCATTTTGCATAAATGTCAATGATATGACTTAAAAGTTTCCACAGGCAGAGAAAAGCCAGGGCAGGTGGGAGCCACCAACTAAGGGGAAAATCAGGGAAAATTAGCTAACAGAACGGGAAGTGAGAGCAACCGAAACAGCTAATGCTGTCTTATGGGAACCTTGCTCTGGGGCTTCTGTAATGCATAAATCATTTAATGCAATACCACAAAAACAAGCAAGGAAAAACTAAAAAGAAGCCTACTACACTATCATAAATCAATATTCACCAGTGAAATTCTCACTCCAAATGCCGTGTTTTGATTTGAACCATGCTATTTCCCCAGCACAAAAAAATAATGCACTTGCTGCTACTTCCCTGTGGGGACAATGCTGGGCAAACAGCAGACACACCACACCTATTTGCGAAGCAAGTGATTTACTTAAGGAAGCTTCTTGGGAGTTTAATCTTTACTTTCTTCAGTGCCAGGGACTGAACCCAAGGCCTCACGCATACTAAGCAAGTACTCTACCACTGAGCTACATCCCAGCCCATTGCTCACTTTAATTATCCTGTGATCTATCACTACTTCCCTTTTTGTGACTCATCCAGGGTGAGCCACAGGGTCAGGGCTCATAGTGGGCATGATGGCACATGCCTGTCATCATAGCACTCAGGAGTCTGAAGCAGAAAGATTACAAATTCAAAGCCACCCTGAACTACATAGTGAGATCCCATCTCAAAAAATAAACAAAAAGGGCCGGGAATTTGGCTCAGTGGTTCTGCCGCCTGCCTCACAAGCACAAGGACCCAAGTACGATCCCTGGTACCAAACAAAACAAAAAAAACAAACAAAAAGGGTCAGGGATGTAGTTCAGTGTCACAGCACCTGCCTGGCAACCTCAAGGTCTTGAGTTCGATCCCCAGTACCAAAAACAACAAAATTAATAAAAAAGGGAGGAGCCACTACTTTGTTATTCACTCTGCTCATTCACTCATCCACTGCACTCACACCCACTAAGGTGCTCTTCTCTGGCCCCTCCTGGACAAAAGGCCTGCTAATAAGTATGACTCATGATGGGCAGAGTCCTAACCGTGTAACGTTAGCCCACCTTTCATCTCTAGCATTATGGACTCAGGCACATCGTCTCCCTCAACCTCCTTCCTCAACTCCAGCCTCTTCTTCCAATCTTCCTCATTAGGGACAATCACCACCACCTTCCGGGAGAAAGTCTTGAACAATAATAGCTTCCGCCGTTGGCCAGAGTTGTACACGTTACACTAGGAACAGGAGGAACAGATGTTCAGGAATAAAAACCACCATTTAACTTCTACCAAAACTTTGTATCTTTTATAACTGGAGCATCAGATTAGGGGGTCAATATGTAAGGCTGTCTTTCTAAAAAACTTTACATGACAAGTATTACTTATTTTACATACCTGAAAAACTGAGGTTCAATGAAGCAAAAGGACTTATCCAAGACCACAAATCTTCTAAGTGGGGCCAGGAATTCTAAGAGCACTGGCTCTTTTCAACATTTCTATTATCTGGGTCTACATACTCCAGTAAAAACACAGTAAAGGTACCTCTGTAATGTTTAAAGCAACCGTAACTAAAGTTGGACATGGTGGAACACACCTGTAATCCCAGCACTTAGGAGGCTAAAACAGAGGATCACCATGAGTTCAAAATCAGCCTGTACTGCAGTTTGAGTTCCAGCCTGAAGTACACAGTAAGATCCTGCCTCAAGGCCACCCCCTTAAAAAAGACCCCATCTGCCGGGTGTGGTGGCACACGCCTGTAATCCCAGCACTTGGGAGGCTGAGGCAGGAGAGTCACTGTGAGTTCAAGACCAGCCTGGGCTACACAGTGAGTTCCAGGTCAGTTTCAACTACATAGTGAAACCCTGTCTCAAAAAAACAAACAAACAAACAAACAAAAAAACCCCAAAAAAACCCACCATAACTAGCCATGCATGTTACAGTGAGTTCAAGAATGGCCTGAACTACACAGCCAGACCCTGTCTCCTGCTCCTTAAAATTGTCTTTCTTCCTATATGCACCCCAATTTGACTCTAAGCAATTTTATTAAATGGATGCAAAATATTCATATTTGTATCTTCTGAAAGAAAAGCTGGGTTTGATTGTTTGAACAATACCTGATCAAGAATAAAGTTCCTCTTTGTCCGAGACGCAATCTGGACCAGCTTACTAAGGCACTGGGAAGCTTGCTGAACTAAAAGGTCACGGCTTTTGGGGTCCATCTCTGGCTCTTCAAGCCCCTTCATCTGCAAGTTTGAGAGAAGGGTGAAGGAACACAAGGAATTAGGTATTAACTTCAAACCCAAGAGACACTGTTGCCACTTTAAATGCCACATGTCACCTCTATTCATTTTTGTGGCATGGTGTTGTGGTACTATTTCTTTTGGTATCAGGGATTGAACTCAGGTCCTTGAACTTGTGCGGCAGGTGGTGCCACCAATGAACTAAATCCCCGGCCCTGTGCCACTATTTCTCCCCCCGCCAATTGAATTTATTGGTCCATTTTAGGTATACAGTACAGTTACATTCCTCATTGAGCTCTTGTACCTTTACATGACAGGTCCTGGTGTGACACTATTTCTTACAGTATCGTTTCTAGCCAACCTAGATACATCCCAGTTTTTATCTGTTTTCAAAAATTTTACAATATATCATAGAAAAAAGAAAATCCACTCGCAACACATAGAAAGCAGCTCCCTTTTCTATGTGTGGGACCCTTGTTCTCAGATGCTTGAGACTAACTCTCCACGGAGGACAGCTGAGGTGTTGTCTGGTCCCCCCAAGCATGCAGTCCTCCAGGCAGTCTCCCTGTACTTACTCTCATCTGACTGAGTACAGTCTCAGCTCCCAGGACGTTGTATCTTTTCTCAGGGTTTTCTTTTGCATATTTTAGTGCCCACTGGGTCTTTCCAGATCCAGGTAGCCCCACCATCAAAATCACCTGCAAGTAAACAGAATCAGGAATACAATGAATATTAGTGAGGGTCAATTTATAAAATCCCATTTAAGCCAGGTGTGGGGGCATATGCCTACTGGGGAGGCTTAGGCAGGAGGATTAAAAGTTTGAGGGACACCTAGGTAACACAGTGAGACCCCATCTCAAAAATATAATCCCCCAAAACACAAACAGCTGAGGAACACCCCCTCCCAGTTTGTTAATGCTCTGAGAAGACACTGGGCAACTTACCCACCCACCATCCCAAAGCAGGAACCCCAAGCTGGTGTACCTCACACTCCTCTATGGTCTTAGGCGGGACTGCAGTGCGCACAAGCTCCTCAACAGGCACAGTATGGATGAACACAAACTCTTCGGGGGGTGGGAAGAAGGGCTCCTCCTTCTGACCAAAGTTTAATTCTACAACACAATTTTTGCAGAGGACATGGGGTAGGAGGGCGCGATCCACCAGGGAGTCCTTGTTGATCCGGAATGCCACACCTAGATCTTCTCCATTCTTGGAGAAGGAAAGTTCTATTTCTTCAGTCTCAAAATTCTATAGGGACAAAGGACAAGAGCACTTAGGGGCTGACAGGGTTTGAAGGTTGATTAAACCTTAGTTTAATCTTTTCTGAAACTCAAGACTGCTGTGCCACACAATGAAGCAAGTCATGAACCAGGTGCAAAGCCAGCAGAGGGTGGGCGAAAAGTGCAGCTCCCAGGGTCCTTATCCTACCCTCTATGACCTACTGGTTCAGAGACACTTACAGCAAAGCAGCCAATGACATCATTCTCTCCAAAAGTCTGGCCAAACTCCTCAAACTGGCTGTTCTCTGCCTTGAGTCCTCGTCCATCAAAGCCATAAGAGAATTCATCCTCACCTAGAAGAGCCAATACTCAGTTACTGGCCCAAAGTTCCACTAGACTAAGCAGCATGGTAGCAAATACAGGCGAGGAAGTTACAAAATAACTTTACCCAGCTGAGGACCAGAAAAATCAACAGACCACCCAACTCGGAGGACAGAAACCTCTGTGCAGCCTTCTTTCATTGGGAGATTCTGGGTCACCTGGCCAAGTCAGAAAAACAACTTAGGTAGTCTGACCACTCAGGAACAGGGAGTTAGAAAGACAAGATTTTTTACATAAACTGAAATGACAGCAACCACACTGAAACATCAGAACAGCAACTGCCATTCAACCAAAGCTGGGTGTCAACCTATTGGTCGTTACAACTAAGGTTATTAATAGAACACAATAAGGGGCTAAGGATGTATCTCAGTTGTGCCACGTCTGCCTTGCAAGTGCAAGGTCCTGAGTTTGATCCCTGGGGGGAGAGGGAGGGAGAGGGAGGGGAGGAGTGGGATAAATTTTATTTTTAAAAATAATAAAAAAAATAAAATAGGGTGACTTTTCCTACACTAGTAAAACACTAATGGATAGAACTCCAATACACAGATACTTTAAAGGTCAAAGTAACAAATAAATGGCTGTGATGAGCTACTACCTTGGCCTCAAAGCAGACCTTTCCCTTTGTTACTCCGTAAGTGCTCCTCGACCCAGACCAGAGGGTGGGGAACTTCTCTGAGAAGAGTGGCTGCCCTCCATAGCGGTCTTTGCTCACTTGGAAGTGAAGATCCGAGGTATCTAAGAAAGACGGGGCTGGTTTACTGCAAGGCCCAGCACTTGACGGCCATTCACACAGCACAAGTGCACCGGATGTCAAAAATGGGGGCAGTCTTTGGGGAGGTGCAGGCCAGTAAGTTCTGGTCCCAAAACTGCTTTTAGGAGAGCAGTTAAACCCCGAGTATTTTTGCCTTATACATACACGTGTCCAGGTTCACAAGAGTCTGATCCTCCTCCTCCTCCTTTGCCTCCTCTTCAGGAGGTGGTGGAGACTTGGAGCTATATATAGAGGACAGAAAAGCAAATCCATATAGCACAGCTCTCTTCAAGTCTGCAGGACTTAAACTAGCAGTGAGTATCGATCTCTGGCAGACAGCTTCTTTCACCAAACCAGAGTCCATCTAAAATCTGCTTCCACTTCTAACCCCCCAGACCTGATCAGTAGGTGGGGTGCCAGTCAGGCCACCGCTCCACAGGGAGGACCAGGGCCTACCGGCTGTGGTGAGCCTCCTCTCGGAACTCGTAGTACGCACGGCCATGTTCATCTTTCTCATCCCGCTGTCGCTTTACCCCTCGCCGCTCACCATCTGAGCCTGCTGGCTTTGATTTCTCGCTGTCTTGGTCATCTCCTACCAAAGGAAGGGGAGAAAATCAGCACTTTTTATACTGGAATGTGGAATAAGCTCAGAACCAACAGAAACCAAATGGGCACTTGAGTATGTCCGATCATAACAGGTGATTCAACTGCACCCATAGCACATATTACTCCAAAGATTACTTTCTTGTCTTTGGCTAAAATTTTATAGGGGGGTACATTAGGGGCTTACAGTCCAGCAGTTGGTAAAAACTGGACAATTTTATATTCTAAATTTATCCACTTAATCAGGTCAAGCTTGCAGATTCTCCCATTAATGATATAAATGGTCTATAAAAAAGCCTTCCCAGGTTAATTTAACCCACCAGATTTGGATTTAAGGTAGGTACTTAAATGCTCACTTCGGCAGCACATATACTAAGGTAAGCACTTAATATATATTTTTTTTCATTTGTTTTGTTTTTTTGGTACTGGGGATTGAACTTGGGACCTTGCACTTGGGAGGCAGGCAGTGGAACCACTGAGCTAAATCCCCAGCCCTTAATAAATATTTTCTAATGTTTTTCCACACAGTTATAACATAGACACCTCAAATTTCTCTTTAAGAGTTTGACGTTTCTACACTCTAACTTTACTTATATAGCAAATGAACTAAAGTGCATGACACATAGCTGTATTTTTATCAGGGATTTACTTAAAGTTGCAGAAGCAAATAATTAAGTCAGAAGAAATCCATAAATAAAATTGCATTTTTACTTCAGATAAGGTATTATATATTTTGTGACTTTTTTTTTTTTTTGCTGGAACCACCGAGCTCCATCTCCAGCCCATTTTTTATTTTGAGACTAGGTCTCATTAAGTTGCCCAGGCTGGATTGAACTTGCAATCCTCCTGCCTCAGCCTTCCAATGAGACGGAATTTACAGATGTGCACCACCATATCTGGCATGTAATATTTTTTACAAAAGGAAAAAAGCTAGAGTTTTCCCTTAAGCTTTAGTATTTTGCAATACTAGAATTTCTTAATAACAGTATCTTTAAAACAATCCTTTATCCTTCAATGCTTTTATTTGGTATTTGGGATACACAGTCAAAGCTTATGTAATGAAATTTTTGTTCTAGGGCATCAGACGAAAAATCTAAAAGTTGCACGTGACTGCTATAAAACAGGTTCCAATTACACCATGATAGTTGGGAGCAGCCTAAAACACATGTTAAAGAAAGAACTTAGAGAACCTACTCTGCAATAAGATTTGGTTGCAACTCTTAAGTTCCCTCCCTCATCTGATGGTTACAGTGCCGGATAAGCTCTAGCCAGCCAATGACCAAAACAAAGGAAAAAAGGTCACCGACGCTCCCCACAGCCTCTTCTAAAAGGTCCTCCGAGGACCCTAACAGAACCTGGACCGTTTCAACTCAGGAAGCAGAGAACCTGACAGATAAAAGGCAGGCCAGCCCAAGTGCGCAACCAATCTACAGTGCCCGCGCATCGCTTTAGTGGGAAGATCCACACTTAATCACAGACACGGGCCACGTAGTTAAGGTGTTCCACTTGCCCAGGGGACGGCTTTCCCTTCCCGGGTTAACGATTAAACCCAGCGCTCCGCGGGGCAGGGCGAAGAGGGCTCCGCTCACTGCTCAATGACTTTACGATGGAAGCCCGAGGCCTGAGCCTGCCACCCGGGGTCCATGTCACTGACAGTCCCCCTGCACATTCTGGGTTGGGAAAGCCATGGGACGCGGACGAGGCAGCTCCACAGGTGGCTCACGGAGGGCGGGATCGCCTTCCCGCGATAACCGAGCAGGGGACACGGTCGGGATCGGGGCAGGGGACAAGGATCCGAT